AGGTGGATCACCTGAGGTCAGGAGTTCAAGACCAGCCTGACCAATATGGTGAAACCCTGTCTCTACTAAAAATACAAAAATTAGCCAGGCATGGTGGCGTGCATCTGTAGCACTCAGCTAGTAGGGAGGCTGAGACAGAAGAATCACTTGAACCCGGGAGGCGGAAGTTGCAGTGAGATCACGCCATTGTGCTCTAGCCTGGGCAACAGAGCCAGACACCATCTCAAGAAAAGCCTCTGAAGTTTGTGGCATCTTTAACTGGGGATGGGATAGGAGGAGAGCCTTGCTTCTCAAGGGCGTTCTCCTCTACTGGCTCCAAATGAACATAATTATCTGTAATCAGTTTAGGTGGTTACATCGTACTTCTTAGACTATGGATCACCTGGAGAGCTTGTTAAAATGCATTCTGATTTAATGGGCTGGGGCCTAAGAGTCTGCATTGCCGACAAGCGCCAGGTGTTCCCCATGCTGCCGGTCCAAGGACCACACTTGAAGTAGCAGCAAAGCAGAGAAGCAGCTTGATTCTTTGTTGGTGGGAGCCTGTTGGTGAGGACACGCAGGCCCTTTTATGTGGTAACCGCAGAGGAAGGGAACATTGTCTTGTCAGGAGTACTAGGAGAGTTGGGGCCATGTTTGAAGTGGCTAGGATGTCTTTTTATAACTCAGTGGGTGGCATCTTTTCAGTGGCTTGTTCTGAACTCTGGGCCACGGTAATCTCTCTATCCCTCGGGATCAGCCTGGTAAACAGCCAGCTGAATTAACTTCAGAAAAGACTCACTCGTGGGCTGGGCTGTGGTCCAGTCTTGCTGGAAGTGGCCTAGGTACAGAGCAGTGCCGGGCTGTGGAGGAAGCCATGCTGTTCTGTAAACACCGAGATACAAGCGTATTCCCGTGTGCCTTCCCGTGAGTGTCATGCACGTGTGTATGCACGCCCCTTTATCTCTAGCCTTATTTTCCATTGCACAGGATTTGGGAAAAACCTTCCATCCGGCCAGCGAATCAGAAATTTTGAACTGGGGGTTGTTATCAGGGTTGGAATCAGCCATTGTTGTTAGAACCATTGAGTACCTTGGGCTTGGAAGGAAGTAATAATGTCGTAGGTTCCTTTCCACTGTAGATTTTGATGTAAACTTTGTCCCCCTCAGTCTTGGCTCTAGGCTGGAGGAAGCAGAGCCTGGGAGTTAAGCTCTCCAGGGTCCCTTCCTCCTTAACCTGTGAATCTGTGTCTGGGAATTTGGAGCAATGGCGCTATCTGAAATTTCCAGGGTTCTCATGCCACTTTGTGGGACACCGTGGAGGAAGAACCTCTTGTTTCTTGCAGCATTTCCCTTCCCTTGGACGCGATGAATTCTTCTGTTAATTTTTTTGTGACGTTTGTAAAATAAATTACAGGTGGCAAGTAGTCACCATGCTGATGTAAATTTGGAGTTAGTGGGAATTTTGGGACGCAGCTCTGTGGCCCTGGGGTTTTTGAGAGGAGGAGGTATTTTATGCTCCCTAGGTCTTAGAACGTGACCTGTGGAAAGGCTGAGGATAAGGCAGTTTAGACAGGGCAAACTGCTAATTCTTCTCACCTGTGAAAACAGCTGCTCTTACAGAGCGTAATCCTTGACTTGCTCCAGTGGCTCTAAAGCTCAGGCCCTGGAGCAAGGGGGGAAATCGATCCCTTACTGTGGCTTTCTTCTCACTGGAGTTTTGTTTTGTATGTCATCATGCATTTGAGTTAGAGTGGACAAGCGCCAGCCAAACTGTTCTTGTGTGGGTGAGGGAGGTGATGTGGTCTGTCTGGGAAAGCGCTTGCTTCAGTTTCCAAAGGGCTGTGGGTTCCAGCCCTGCTTCTGCGTGGGAATTCTGCAGCTGTGCCCAGCAAGCACCTGGGGAGGAGCATCCCAGGGCATGATTGAGGGGCCACAGGGCAGCCTGGATACCAGCACCACTGGGAGCCTTGCTTCTCTCACTCCCCAGCGGGGCATCTTCCTCATGGAATCAGGTACAGACCCTCCAAGACTGACCTGAAAGGAGACACTTCAGTGAGGAGTGGGTCTCCCTGGCTCTTTGTACCCTCAGATTCTTCAGGTTCTAGATGTTGAGTTGAGCTCGGGGCAGTGAGAATTAAGATGGGACCCCCACACCTTCCCATGAACCTTGACACCATGTCTCTGAGCCAGGTTAGTGATGATGTCCCTTGTGATATCTGCCAGCCTTTGCCAGAGTCCCCTTTGAGGGCCGCAGACTTCTGTTGTATGATGTGGAGGCCCTGTTTGTCTTCTCCTTTGCCCAGCCAGAGTGTTGCAGGGGGAGCAGCAGCATTCTGAGGCTAGGGTGCAATGAATGGCTGAGATCCCCAGATGAAGGTGGTTTTCAGGACAGAGGGAGGGGAGCCTGGGTGAACTTCCTACCTCCCCAGGGAAGCTGCCCAAGGTCATCCTCACCTCTGCTAAACACCTTTTCTACAACTACATAATATAGAATACACTTTATTCCAAGGCATGTGGGAGGTGATCTATTTCATGATACAAAACCCTCACGAGGTGAATTCCCTCTCCTTTCTAGGCAGGTGGAGATAAGGAACAACGCATGTTCTCACTGAGCGGCGGCTTGGCGTTTTCGACTCTTTGAACATGAGTGCAGATTTTGTTTAAAGTCTCATTGTTGAAGACCTTTTCCCAATGGCTCGTAGCTCAGCGCCAACGGTGCCTGATTAGTGTTGATTGGTATTCTTTGCTATCGATCTTCTGTTGACTACTTTCCAGAAACGATGCATAAAACTATAGGTCAAAATTGTTTTTGTGCTATCTGGAGGGGAGCTTACTGCCATTTTCCTCATGTTCTGCACTCACACAGGCCCAAACTGCCTCTTCTGTCTTCTGGGTGTGTCTTTCCCCTTTTCTATAGTCAGGGGATGCTCCTGCTGGGGATGGCCCACACCTGGCAGCTTTTCAGATCATGATGGAGGATGCAGAGGCTCGTTCTTGCTCCTGTTTGCACGCAAACAGTTCTATTTCTGTTTTGCAGTGGGAGAGAGGATGCAGTTTATAATTCCACACTCTGGTATTTTTTTTCCTATTTGCCTCTCAATGTCCATGCTGTATGTGTGGTGGGGGGTAGGAGGAGGAGGGGGAGGCAGAAGGGAAATAGCGTCTCTAAATTTTGTTTGTTATTGAAATAACACATGCAGGAAAGTGTCCATATCATATACAATGATCACAAATTTGTACAACATCACTCAGGTTGAATGACAACATTTTCATCACCCCCAGCAATCCCCCTCCCTAATTAAAGCCCCGCTTTCTCCTCTTCAGAGGTAACCATTCCGCTGCCTTCTAACATTATAGTTAGATTTCACTTGCACTTTAGATAAAGATTGCACTTTCGGTAAATGGAATCAGACTGTGAGCATGCCGTTGTATCTGGCGTCCTTTGTTCGGTGTTTTATTTGTGAGATGCATCTCTGTGGTTGCAGTTGAATGCTGTTCATTTGTTTCCACTGCTGCATAGAATTTTTTTTTTTTTTTTTGTCACGCAGGCTGAAGTGCAGCGCCGCTATCTCAGCTCACTGCAACCTCTGCCTCATGGCTTCAAGGGATTCTCTTACCTCAGCTTCTCGAGTAGCTGGGATTACAAGCACCCACCACCATGGCCAGCTAATTTTTTGTATTTTTAGTAGAGACAGGGTTTTGCCATGTTGCCCAGGCTGGTCTTGAACTCCTGAGCTCAGGCAACCTGCCCACCTTGGCCTCCCAATGCTGCATAGGATTCTCTTGTATTGCTACACCATAATTTACTTATCCACTCTAGCACTGATGGGCCTTTGGGTTTCTTCTTTTTTTTCTCGGTATTATGTATGCAGCTTTGAACATTTTGCACGTCTCCTGGTAGAAATGTATGCATTTCTATGAGGCATGTTCCTAGAAATGGAATTATTGTGTCAAAGGTGCATGTTGAGCTTTATTAGGAATTGCTGAGGCCGGGCGCAGTGGCTCACGCCTGTAATCCCAGCACTTTGGGAGGATGAGGTCGGCGGATCATGAAGTCAAGAGATCAACACCACCCTGGCCAACATGGTGAAACTCCGTCTCTACTAAAAATATAAAAAAATTAGCTGGGCGTGGTGGCGCGCCCCTGTAGTCCCAGCTACTCGGGAGGCTGAGGCAGGAGAATTGCTTGAACCCAGGAGGTGGAGGTTGCAGTGAGCTGAGGTTGTACCACTGCACTCCAGCCTGGAGCCTGGCAACAGAGTGAGACTCTGTCTTAAAAAAAAAAAGGAATTGCTGAATAGTTTTCCCAGTGGTTTTAATGGTTTCCACTCTCACCAGCAGTGTATGAAGGTTCTAGTTACTCTGTATCCTTGTCAGCACTTGGCATTTTCAGTCTTTTTGGTTTTAGCCTTCTGGTTGGTATGAAGTTGAACTTCTCTGATAACTAACATAGTTGAGCACCTTTTCATGCATTTATTGGCCATCTGGCTCTCTTCTTTCATGAAGTATCTATGCAAGTCTTTGGCCTATTACTCTATTGACTTGTCTGTATTTTTCTTGTTAATAAATGAGGAGTTTTAAAAAAGATTTTGGATAGGACCCTTCGGTTGGTTGTATGTGTTCCCGCCCATCCATCTCAGTCTCCCGAGGAGCTGCGACTAACAGTGTGCACTGTCACACCGGCACAGTTTTTTTGTATTTTTGTTTTCTGAAGATGGGATTTGCCATGTCCCCCAGGCTGGTCTGGATTTCCTGGTCTCAAGCAATCCACCCACCTTGGCCTCTCAAAACGCTGGGATTACAGGCATGAGCCACCACGCTCAGCCTCCGTAAGCTTTAACAGCCTGGGGAAGGTCTCACAGGTTTCACTGTAGGACCTCTCCCCCAAGCCCACATGGCAAAGTATAATGATACGATTTTCAAAGTGAATGCGCACAGCCCGCCCGTGGCTAATGCTTAGCCGTCTGCCTCCTGTCTTCTTATCCTAGGTTGTGATAGAATTGCCATTTTCTCTTGCTGCAGGGTCCTCGTGGGCGCACCAAAGGCAGATTCCAAATACAGCACCTCAGTGAGGTCCCCTGGGGCTGTGTTTAAGTGCCGTGTTCACACCAACCCTGACCGGAGATGCACCGAACTGGACATGGCGAGAGGTGGGTGAATGTTAGTTACTGCTGCAGTGGAAATGGCCTCTGTACTCTTACGCCTTACTCTTTTTCTTCCCAGGATGGCCTGATCATTCACCCGCTCATCCATCCTTCCCTCCTTCACTCCCTCCCTCTCTCCAACAAACAAGTATCGAGTACCTAATAGTTATTAAGCACTGGGATACACCAGTGAGCAAGAAGGATCCTACCATCCTGAGCCTCATAAGTTAGTGGACAAAAGAGACATTAAGACAAGTAATTGAGTGTGAAACGACCAGAGGGAAGGCAGGCATTTGATTCAGTCTAGATTGGAGGATCAGGAAAGGTCTGGGACCTTTTGACATGATTAGAAGGAGGCGTAGTCATCAGCTGGGCAGGAGCAGGAAGCACAACCTCTAAGCAGAGGTGCCATTTGGAAGCACAGAGCGAGGTGGTGCAGCTGGAGAGGGAGCTGGGACGGTGGAGCACAGCAGGGCGGCAAGGCAGGCTGGGGCCTGCCCACGTGGGGCTTAGCAGGCCAGGGGCAGGTGCTGGAATTTTATTCTGTGTGTGAGTGGGGAGGCCGTTGAAATCAATTTTAGGTGTTATATTTTAACTAGGAAAGATATGATCAGATGGATGTTTTTAAAAGCTCACTTTGGGCTGGGTGTAGCGGCTCATGCCTGTAGTCCCAGCACTTTGGGAGGCCGAGGTGGGCAGATTGCTTGAGGCCAGAAATTCGAGACCAGCCCAGGCAACATGGCGAAAGTCCATCTCTACTAAAAATACAAATATTAGCTGGATGTGGTGTGTGCTGTAGTCCCAGCTACTCAGGAGGCTGAAGCAGGAGGATCACTCGAGCCCAGGAGATTGAGGGTGCAGTGAGGTGAGATTTCGCCGCTGTACTCCAGCCTGGGTGACAGAGCTGAGAATTCTGTCTCCAAAAAGATAAAAAAATATATAATAAAAGCTCACTTTGATCTAGTGAGAAATAAAATATCTTTGGAGTCAGTTGGTTCTGACTGGGTTCAAAGCCCGGCTGGGACTGATTGGGAATGTCCTATAGCTTCTTGGGCCTCAGTTCCCTCACCTTCAGAATCAAGACTGAGGTACCTGCCTCACAAAGATGGTCTTGAGAAGATGAAGTGACATAATCCAGGTGAGTTCACAGAACTGTGCTGGGCACATCAGTACAAAGGAGCTATTTTGTCATCATCATCACCACAAGCACTGCTTTCTCCAAAGTCTTTTTGCATCAATATTTTCTAATTTGTTTGTTTGTTTGTTTTTTGGAGACAGTCTCGCTCTGTCACCTGGGCTAGAGTGCAATGGCGCAATCTCTGTTCACGTCAACCTCTGCCTCCCAGGTTCAAGTGATTCTTCTGCCTCAGCCTTCTGAGTAGCTGGGATTACAGGTAGCATGTGTCACCATCCTTGGCTAATTTTTGTGTTTTTAGTAGAGACAGGGTTTTGCTGCGTTGGCCAGGCTGGCCTCAAACTCCTGGCCTCCAGTGAATCACCCACCATGGTCTCCCAAAGGGCTGGGATTATAGGCGTGAGCCACTATGCCTGGCCAAGATCTTCGAATTATTTTTTAAGTAGTTATTGTGATTTTCTTTAGCAGAAAAAAGAGGTTTATGAAGTGTTTGTTACTCGTACATAACAAATTAAGGAACTTGCTTCAGAACATAAATCAAGGCCCTGCCTCTTTCCTTGAGAAAACCTTGCCATGTGGTTGGGTGCAGTGGCTCATGCCTATAATCCCAGCACTTTGGGAGGTTGAGGTGGGTGGATTACTTGACGTCAGGAGTTTGAGACCAGCCTAGGCAACATGGTGAAACCCTGTCTCTACTGAAAATACAAAAATTAGTGGGTGTGGTGGTGCACCCCTGCAGTCCCAACCACTTGGGAGGCTAAGGTAGGAAAATTGTTTGAACCTGGGAGGCAGAGTTTGCAGTGAGCCAAGATCGTGCCACTGCATTCCAGCCTGGATGACAGAGAGAGACTCTGTCTCAAAAAAACAAAAAACAACAACAACAAAAACCCAGTTATCTGGATTAAACAGTGCAGTACATTGTGATGGAGTTGATTTACATTTTGTGGAGAGTTCCTTATTTCCTCTTGGGTAAATAACATGGGGGCTGTGGACCACCCTTTGAAAAGCAGCCAGCAGAACATCACTCCTCACCCAAGCCTGGCTCTCTTCCTGTGCTTCCAGGGAAGACTCGGGGCACGTCCTGCGGAAAGACCTGCCGGGAAGACCGCGATGATGAGTGGATGGGGGTGAGCCTGGCCCGGCAGCCCAAGGCCGACGGCCGTGTGTTGGTGAGTCCTCCTGGGGCTACCATGGGAAGGGGGTGGCACTCTGAGAATGAATGGTCTGTTAGGAAGGCTGGATGGCATGGTGACAAGTACATGGCTTTGAGTTTGCTTATTCTGGACTACTGCTTACACAAACGGCTTATCTTCTTATTTTCTTTATCTGTCAGATGTGAATAATGTCTGTCTCAAAGTGCTGAGATGTGGCTATTGAAAATTAAACATGTGAAAAGTGCTTTGTATATCTCATTCATTACATGGTGTGTGTGTGTGTGTGTGTGTGTCTTGAGTTATAATTTACCTACAATACACAAATCTTAAGATTACAGTCTTTTCAGAATTGTACATTCCTGTGTACAATATGCCCACCAGGATATAGAATATTTCCATCATCCCAAAGTCTCCTAAGTCCCTTTTCAGCTGACTCCTCCCACCTGAGAAAACCAGCAGTGATTTGTATTACACATTATTTATGCTTTGTCTAGAACTTCGTATAAATGGAATCCTACAGTGTGTGCTCTTTTATATAAGGCTTCTTTCACTCAGAATAATATTTTCTGAAATTAATCTATGTTATGTATCAGTAGTTCATTCCTGTTTATCTCTACATAATACTACATTTTATGAAATAAGTGTTATTTTTAACTAGTCATTTATTGGACTTCCAAAGTGCCTATGATGTATTCCGATCCATAGGTGCTTTGACGGAGATAAAAGGAAAAGTCTTTGCCTTTGAGACTCCTGAGATCCTGGAGTTGTGCTGTGTAGTAAGGTAGCCACCAGCCCTGTGAGGTTATTTAAACTTAAATTTATCCAAATCAAACTGGAAATTGTTCTTTAGTCATATTAGCCACATTTGAATTGCTCAGTAATCACAGAGGGCTACTGGCTACTCTATTGGAAAGCACAGAGAGAGTATTTTCATCGTCGCAGAAAGTTTTATTGGACTCAACACAAAAGGAACTTCTAACTGCTGCAGAGGTTTTGTTTTTGTCAAATTTTCCATTTTTCTTTTAAAGTTTTCTGTGAGGTATAACACTAAAGCACTTAACACGCCCAGCTGTGAGTGGACAGGCTGGTGGGTTTCACACACCTACACTTGGGCGTTCCTGTTGCCAGTGCCGCAGAAGGACCTCTGGACCCTTTCCCAATCAGTTCTTCTGCCCCTGCTGAGAGAACCGCTGTTTTGACTTCATAGGCTTTCTCCTGCCCTTGACTTTTATCAGAAGCTGCATGACGGTTTTTATTATAAAAGCGTAAGATCAAGATGGGAGAGTAATACCAGCTGCCGCTGATGGAGGGCTTCCTTTGGGTCACGTGCTGCAGAGTGAGGGTTTCCTGTGTATTTTATCCCAGGGGAGACAGGTTTTCCTTAAGGATCTAGGCAAAGTGTTTTTGTCCCCTCTCTGAAGAAGCCCACTTTTGTTAACCTTCTTCATGGCAGAAGCTGTTAATCCAAATTCTGTCCTCAGCACAATTAAGCATCTCCCCGTTGTTGGGCCCCTTGGGAGAGGAGGAAGCAGCTGGATGCTGTCGCCAGCATTGTTGGGGCCTCCCTCCTGGAAGCCCCTGTAGGTCCTGCAGAGGGTCCCTGAGCTCACTGTTTGTCTTGGTTTCCAGTCCTTCCATCACTGTCGTCGCCCGGCCCTGGACCCTCTCCAAACTTCCACATTCCTCCAGGCGTGGTGGCCTGACCCTGACTGGACGAATGGGCCCCAGAAGGGCTGAACCCTTGTCTGCCATTCTAGGGAAAGAGAGGGAAGAAGCTGACTCATCTGTAAATCAAAGGGTAGCCCAAGGTCCTGGTTCAGAACAAAGGGAGGTGGTGGCCCGGTGGCAGCACAACTCAAGATGCTCTTAAGGGTGCTGAGCCTAGAGTCAGAGTTTGCTCCTGTGAAAATATTTCCTCTCTGCAAGGAAGGGTAACCTTTCTGTGGCTGACAGCTTGTTTCTAGAGGGGCAAGACAGATTTCTGTATCACTGCAGATCAGTATCATGCAGGGGTCATCTCTGGGGACAGTGAACAGCAATGAGGACCACAGGGAAGCTCTGGCAAAGGAAGCCAAGGACGTGGAGCTGGAGCGTTTGTGGATAATGGCGCCATGGATGGTCCTGTCTAGTTAATTGCATGCAGGGCTCGCTTTTAAATGTTTTCTGAGATCACTGCAACATCCACTCGGTAAGCCACTGTCTATGGGTGCTGGAGAAAGAGGAGGATCTGACAGCATCTGCCTTCCTTGTGACTTTTGTTTTTCTAATTGTGGTCAAACACATAACATAAAACTTACCACCTTCACCATTTTGAGTGTGTAGTACAGTGGTGGTAAATGTGTGCACATGGTTGTACAACAAACCTCTAAACTTTATCTTGCAAAACTTACATCCGTTGAACACCAGCTCCCCCTTTTCTCCTTCCCCTAGTTCCTGGCAACAACTATTGTATTTCTGTTGAGAGTTGAGTATTTAGATCTCATGTAAGTGGAGTCCTGTGGTGCTTATCCTTTTGTGACTAGCTTATTCCATTCAGCATAATGTCCTCAAGGTTCATCCATGTTGTAGCATGTACAGGATCCCTTTCCTTTTTAAAGGCAGAATAATATTTCATTGTATGAATATACCATATCTATTCAGCTATTAATGGACATTTAAGTTGGTCCTATCCTCTGGCTGTCGTGACATATGCTGCTATAAACATGTACCAATATCTCTTTGAGATCTTGTTTGCAGTTCTTCCGGGTATACACCCAGACGTGGGATTACTGCATCATACGGCACTTCTGTTTTTAACTTTTGAGAAACATCCATACTGTTTTCCCAAGTGGGGGCAGCATTCTAAATTCTCACTAACAGAGCACAAGGGTTTCAGTTGCTCCACATCCTTGCCAACATTTATTGCTTTCTGGTTTGTTTTTTTTTTTATAGTGGCCTTCCTAATGGGTGTGTGAATTTCCCTGATGATTAGTAACGTTGAGCACTGTTGCATCTGTTTTTGGTCATTTTATATCTTCTTTGGAGACATGTTTAGGTACTTTGCCCAATTTTAAATGGGATTGTTTGGTTTTTATTGTTGTTGAGTTATCCTCATGGCTTTTTGCACATGGGCAGTCTTGCTAGGAAAGGCTTGTCCTAAGTTCCCTCTGCCCTGTCCCACTCTGTCCTCGTCACTCCTCTTTCTTCCCCCGTGTGGGCTCTGCCTCCTCCGTGAAGCCTGTTAAGGGTTTTCTGGAATGGGCTGAGCATCTTTTGTGTCATTAGGAGCTCAGCATCAGCTTGTTACTTATATTGTGTGTATAATTTATTTTGTGGCCATACGTCCCCTTTTATGGAAGCCACTTGGGGATAGAGACCAAATCTTCTACCCACTTTCATTCTCAGCATCTGGAAGACATCTCTCTAAGGAATGGTGTCTGAAAGTGTGTTTGAGTAATACAGGGACTGAGAGTCAATGTTAAAACAATTAGAAACCAAATTAGTTGCCCTCTTTTCTTGGTGGCTGATTCTAAGTGGTTGATGGAAACACCGGGAAAAATTCTGTAAAATGTCCCTTGGAGATGACAGGCAAAACCAAGACACAGTGAGTGGCCACCTAGTTCGTATTTACATTTGGAGGCCACACAGCCGTTTGCTTTTTCTTTAATGCTTCAATCCTATCTGGCAGAGCTTTCTGGGAGGCAAGTATTTACCTTTAAATTAAAAATAGGAAGGATGAGAACTTGGGAGGTGCCTGGGGTGTAGGCAAGAGGGCTCTGTCCCCAAGGAGCACAATATTGGATTCCAGGGTTGGGTTGGAAGAGGGGGAGGTGGGCTGGTAATTTTGAAAGCTGGTGCTGATAGAAAGCTAAGAGCAGATGGAGAATTTGAAGGCTGCAATGGGGCGTGAAGTGTCTCAGTGACAAATGGCATTAGGTGGACCATGGACCCAGCAAGCAGCTCTGGCAAGAACCAGGTTGTCATACTGGACTGGCGGGTTGACCTTGGCTTAGTGCCGGCCCATCTCAGCTCCAGGTACACTGTCGCACCTCCCAGGTTTCTCCCAGGAACAAATGATACTGGATGTAAAGGCAACATCAGGGTTAGAGACAAGCCCCTTCCCTTCTCACACCCCCACCCCGAGCTCCCTGTGTGCAGATGACATTTTAAGAAATGGGCAGGAAGGGGAATCATGTCTTGAAAGAACCACGGAACAAACCCTGTGTAGGCATTGACCGCTGCTCTCAGAATGTGGGGGGCACCCCAAAATGTCCAGGTCTGGTGTCTCCTCGTCATCAGACTTGCCAAGGCTTGGACCACAACTAATGCTAGATTATTTCTGTGCAGAAGCAGTATTCTCTGGTTCTCTTCGTCATTTCCTTTCTAAATGTCAGGGCTGTCCTTATCTCTTCCACTGCTTCCCATCCGTCCATTTTTTTTCAAAGCCACAGGGTACATTTTTGCATTTACTCTGTTGCTCTGCTTCCTGGGGGTTTGCAAAGGGAACTTTTTATTGAGCTGTAACGCACCGAAGAACGTACAGATCACCCGTGTATGCCTCAGTCATTTTTCCTTAGGTGAACATCCTCAGAACAACATTTTCACACTCCAGAAGCCCCTTCCCAATGCCCCTCCTGGCCGCGCCCTCCTCCTCCTCAGCTGGAAGCCTCCTGGGGCAGTCTCGCGGCATCGCTGCCTTGCTGTGATTCTGCTCCCCAGCACACTCCATTCTCAGCTACCCAGCCCAGTTGCAGCCATGCGCTGTGGACCTGGATGTGTGACAAAGGCTTTGGCCATCTCTATGGCAAGGACGTGAATAGGAGGGTTGGTGGGGGCTGATGTACCTTCGTGGCCAAGGCACCCAGAAAGTACCAGTACCCACCCCAGGAGGGAGGAGGTGCTTCCATACCACAGAGAAGGCCTTTGAAATAAAGTGTTTCTTTCTTTCTGTTTTTCCTACCAGAAAGGAAAAACAGTCCTTATAACTTGAAGTGTGTCAGATTCTAAGATTTGGAGTAGGACAAGGCCCTCCTCCCCCTTCCTTATGATTGAAATCTGAGTTCCACCAAGTTTTGCTGTTTTTCCAGAATGCTCTTCTCCTGCTCTTCTCTGCTTGGTCCCCAGTCTTCCCTCGCAGCAGAACTCATTTGGAGAGATTGATGGAGTTACTCATGCTTTGGAGACAGTCCCTGTGAACTTTTTTTTAAATGTAGGAGTCAGATGGACATGTGTGTACATATAATGATAATCAGGGCTGAACACAGTCCTCTCTTTCTGTAATTTATATCCGGAGACACTTGATTGTTTTCCTACACGAATCCTTCCTTTGGCACTTCGATCTCTGACCTCCCAGAATGCTTTTAGTTTAGTATGAAGTGAAATATTTGGATCTTCTAGGAAGTCTCCAAGACCACCCTTTAAATAGTTTATGGCACTTAAAAAATGACACAATACACCAGACATTAACTAGGGCAAAGCCCTCCTAGAAGTGCCAGTGTGCAGCTGGCTGTCAGGCAGCACCATGATAAACATCCGCCTCTTTTTACAGCCCCTCCAACTCAGAAATACAATAAAACATGGTCAGCACTTGAAGCCAAGGGCTTTGCTAAGTCCAAAAACTAAAATATAACTTATTTACCCACCAGTTAGATAACAATAAATGATTCAAGTTTGCAAGCCATCAGAATTGAGTCAGAACTTTAAAATCCAATTATTTAGCAGTATGAAATGATTATGTACTTAATGATATATTTTTATAGTTCTTTGCCTCACATCATTTGTCTACTTAGAAATTTGCTATTTGAGCACAAAACAGTATTAAGGGAAGAAATGAACGGGGTTTGCAGCAGAAAAAATAACAATAGATTGTTTTTTATAGTTTAATGTCATAGGACAGGAGGCAGAGTGTGGGCAAGCTCAGGTTGTGAGAGTCGTTCTGGCATGTCCTCAAGGGCAAAAGAGAGTGGCCTTGTCAAGGGCCTTGGTGGCAGTGGCTTGAAGGATGAAGAGCAGAAAGATTAGAAGGCAGTGATCTTTCCACGGCATGACCTCAGAGGAAACCAGTCCCCGAGAGCCCCTCACTCACTCGACGACCTTGGGAATTCCATTCACCCTCAGAGTGGAGATTTCAGGTGGCCTGGGACCTGTGGCAAGGGGGCTGTGAAGATGATAAAGTCACCAGGCCTGCCCCAGGGGTGAGTTTTGATGGCCTGTGAAGTAGGAATGAGAAGTTTTAAGATGGAAAATGCTTCATAGTGAAACAAGGAAGGCTCAGAACTCATGGATTCTGGTCCTGTTTGCAGTGCTTACTAGCTCTGCCGCTGGGGCAAAGCACGCTCTGACCCACAGTGCTCTCCTACAGCAAATGGGAACCGTGAAGACACCGCTGCCCGCCCTCCAGGCTTGCACGAGAGGTCAGAGGCAGGCCGTAAGAACACTGAATATTATCACTTACAAAAACTGTGCGTTTGAAGGGGCACACCAAGATGTTAAAAACTGATAATTTTGAAAAGCACTACTTTAAGAAAATGCATTCACTGGCCAGGGTGAAGTGAACTGAGAGCAGAAGTGAGGGGTGAATGCCTGGGAGAAGTGGACTGGCTGGGCAGCCAGAGTGTGCGCCTCTGAGTGAGCAGGTCGGCTCCTCATCGGCACTGTGGTGACAGACACGCACGGGAACTGGGGCTGTTGTCATGTCCAAGCAGAAGGCAGGGGTGCGCTTGGTGTGGCAGGAGGATGAGCCAGGCCTGCGTGCTGGCTGCTGGCACTGCTCCTGTGTCTGCTGGCAGAGCTGCCTTTCCTCATGGCACCTTGCATAGCCATGTGCTGAGAGGCTCCTCTGGAAAGCTGGCCAACGCGACTGTCCGTCCTCTTCCCCGACATGCGGAGCTCCCACCTGCCCCAAGGCCCTTGGCACTCTGAACCTTTCTTCAGCTCTCCTCAGAGAGCCTTCCTTGACCTGCCGGGTGAAACCAGCTATTCCCTGGCATAAGAGAACCTTCTGGTGAGATGGAAATGTTCTGTGTCTTGTTAGGGCCTTGTGACATGAGTGTGTACCTTTGTCAAAGCTCATTACACGGTATGTTTGAGATTTGTGCATTTTGCTGTATTTAAGTTTACATCAAAAAAAGAACCCCCACCACATTTACTTCTAGTTAATGAGATGCATGCGGAAGTGTTTCTGTAGGTAGAAACACGCTTGAATATCAGCAGTTCCTCCCTTCCCTGCTCTCTCCACGTCAGCTCACTCCCTTGGGCCTGTCAGCCCTCAGGGAGCCACCCCTCACCCATCTGCACTGCCCCTCTGGTCCATACCTGCCCCGTGTCTCACCTGGTGTTCCTTTGCACCCTTCCCTCTTGTCTCCACCGAGCAGGGCAGCCAGATCTTCCCACACTGTCACTCGGATCACGCTTCTCACCTGTGTGAGACCCTCCCCTGTTTCCCATTGCACATCTCCTGAAGTCACAGCCATTCCCATGTCCCCTGCTTCCCATTGCACATCTCCTAAAGTCACAGCCATTCTCATGTCCCCTGTGGTCTGACCTCGGCCCCCTGTTTGACCCTATCTCCCTCCCTGCATGGTCGCGCCATACCGGCCTTTCTTTCTCTTGAGCCTGTGAGCCTTTCTCAGAGTGTGTCCTTTGCGTTCTGCTGTCCTTCCTGTGTGCTCAGTGTGGTTAGCTCTTCCTCATGCCCCAGGCCTTCCCCACTGCCAGTGGAAACTAACCTTCCACTCTCAGCTTCTTTATCCCATAACCCGACGGTCCTCATTTGTTGATCTATTTGTTTATTTCCTATCTCCTAGTTAGACTCCCGGGCTCGTTTCTGTTTGTGCAGTTTTCTGATGCCTAGAGCAGTGCCTGGTATGAAGGTATGGCTTCCTGGCCCGTCTGCTCCTCTCTCCTCCCACAGAAGGAAACACTGGGCACTGCTAGGAATCTGCTTTGTCACCTTTTGGGGTCAACTTTCCTGTTCTCAGCTGCTCTCTATCCCTTTAGGCCTGTGCCCATCGCTGGAAGAACATCTACTATGAAACTGACCACATCCTGCCACATGGCTTCTGCTACGTCATCCCCTCCAACCTCCAGGCCAAAGGCAGGACGCTGATCCCTTGCTATGAAGGTAAGTACGGATTGATTGTCCTCATCCCCCTACATACCTCATGCCCTAAGCCCACCTCTCCACCTCTTTGCACCACCAGCTGAACATTTACCCGGCTCTCCACATGCTCATGAGAGGGCAGCACTGTTTGCCTCCAGACGATCTCTTGATGCCCAAGGCCCTGCCCAGAGAAGAGGCAGGTGCAGAGAGGGTGGCAGTTCCAGGCCTTTCCAACCCTTGCCTGACTCGGCCGCAGAGCCCACAGTGCCTACCAAGCTTTATGAAGTCTCAGGGACCGAAATTTACCAAGCCTCAGCCAAGTGACCTAATAGCTGCCTTGGATTTTTGGTAATGCCAGGTGCTGTGTTGTCTTGTGAAACTTACCTTCTCTCTCTGGACCTCAGTTTCCTTGACTGAAAATTCAGTGGTTGGCCCAGGTGATCTCTAGAGCCCCAGGCAGCTCCCATCAGTCATTAGGCTCCCACCCAGCTCCTGGCTGCACTGTGGGCAGATGTCCTGAGGCAGGGGGAGAGGAGACTCAGGATTCATAAAGCAACAGCTGCACCGAAACTTAACACTCCAAACACTCAGCAGTTCATGACATTCGAGGTCTGACTCTCCTTCCCATGTGGTCCTGCATCCTGAATGTGGTTTTAAGAGCCCCTCGCCAAGGGACACTAGGAAGGAAATGTATCCTCTCAGACTTAGAACCTTCAAATGCCTGGGCATCGAGGACAATCGCTAATAGTGATTGAGTCGACCACTGAATCATTGAGCCCAAATGTCTGAGCTTTAAGCATCCAGACAACACGGTTATTTTCTTCAGTTTTATAGCTTGTACTCTCCACTTTTCTCAGCCTAATTTCGGGTGCGCTGGAACCTGCTCCTTCTCTAAGGGCTGGACTCTTTCTTAATTTCCCTCCTGCTTTATTTGGACAGAAGTCTCACTGGCTTGTGTCCACATTGCCTTTGGGCCTCCCTGGGTTTTCCTAGGTTTCAAATTTTGTGGCCATTAAAGAGGACTCACGAGAAACACTATATGGACCCTGGGACCCTTCTGGAGACTCAGCTGACCCAGGAAGGGTGCTCTGGGAAATGTCTCCCAAGAAGAGCAAGCAGCATCCCTGTGGGAGGCACAAACCCCCTCTCCTGTAGAGAGAGTGAGCCTTCTTTTGCTTTTTCTTTTTCCTCTGTATCCGCATTTGATCAACCCTGGCCACGTGGGGGAATGAAACTCTGGCTCTGTTTATATCTGTATTGTCCCCAACAGAAGAAAAACAAACTTCTGACAAATAGATGTTGATGTAATCAGTCCCGAGTGGAGGGATCATTGATGTCAGGTGCACAAAGCTGAGTCAAGACTGGTTTACTTGACTGCCCAGTTTACTCTTCCTCCTTCCCAAGGAAGGAAAAGGAAAAGCCTCTGGAACAGCTGGTCGGGAGTTCTTCAGGCTGGGAAGGAGCAAGGGGCTCTGCAGGGTGACAGAGGCAGTGATGTTGGAATGCATTAGTTATGCATAGGACCAGTACTTTGGTTTTCCTGGAAGATGACATGTCGTGGCAGGAATGCATGGCTGCCCCAGTGATTCTTCGGCATACACCACAAGTGCAAGGACGACCGAGTGGAGCCAATGACCACGTTTACGTGGTGCACCGTGGCTCATGGTGCGCCGTGGCTCACGCTTCTGCGTTACTTTCTATTAAGTAGCTGTGGATCATCAGTAGGCCAGTGTTGATCTGAGGTCTTTACACATTCTCTCATCTAATCTTCCCAGAAGCCATGAAGAATGTTTTTTTCTTTTGTTCTTGGGTCAGATTACAGGTAGTTTATTTTGAAAGTTGTTCTAGCAGACACCAGTGAGGCAGGGGGAAGTGAGAATGGGAAGGAGCACCCATTGAAGATGTGCTCCTCAGCACATTACCTAGGTGAGCGGGGGCAGTCTCTGGGGTGGGTGCTGGGACTCTAGGTGGAGCACACACCTAGAGTCCTCCTGCCTGAGGCCTGCGGGAAGGGGCTTCTTCCATCTGGCATCCTGTCCTGCCATGTGTGTGGGCTGGGAAAGCCTCCAGGACAGAGGTGCGGGTGATGGCAGGTGGCAGTCAGGCCACATCACGGGAATGGTGATAGGAGCTGAGGGGAGGCAGGGGGGTGCCCAAAGGCCAGCTTCTGGTGTTGCCGTTCTCCTGTGACAGAGGAGCCAGTGGAGACTCAGAGTGTACGTGAATGGCCCCAGGCTCACTCAAATGGAAAATGGTGGAGCAGGGTTTGGAAGCTGGCATCTGTCTGACTCCACAAACCATCTTGGTTCCTGGTAATTCATGGTAGTTTCTGTTAGTTTGTGTTTCAGCATTTCTAACTTAAACGAGACGTAAAAGCTGGTCAGCAACCCTCATAAAACACGAAAGGGAGACTGAACTATCCCCAAAATACAATTACGAGGCGAGGCGGTGTGACCATTTCGGATGCCAGTGCTGTCCAGCCAGGCCCTGCGTGCTTTCTCCTTCCTCTCTGCCATTCTGCTCTGATGCTTGGCAGGAGCCCGCCAGCCCCTTGAGCGGTGGTGGCCGTGGTGGTGGTGGCGGCAGCAGCAGCCAGGTGTCAGCCTCCGTGCAAGGACACTCCAGGCGCCCCTCCTTCACAGGAGTGTGTGAGCTCCAGCCTAGGCCTCGCTGGGCTCCTGTGTTTCTGCCGACCCCCCTGGGTGCTTCTGACCATGCATCATGTCTCACACAGCTCATGAGTCCCAGAGAAGAGATACGCAGAACGGAGCTGAACTGGACCTGTAGCCAGAGCCCCACCAGATCAGTGAAACCCCAGCCGATCTGTGGTTGTATGAGTGAGAAATAAATGCTTGTTTCTGTTTGCCGTGGAGATTCTGTGATTGTTACGCAGGAATAGCTGGCTGATACAGGGCTCATCTCAGGAACCCAAATTCCTCATGCAACAGTGGCTATAGGGTGGGCTCAGGCCACAGGATCATTCTTGGCTTTAATTGTTCCTGGACTTAATGATGGCTAAATGGAACCAGTGAAGAAATTAGCACAATGATTCTGCCCCTGCCCAGTCTTCCTTCCCCATGGGCACACACACTGTTCCATGTGCTAACCCATTCATAGGCCCAGGGTAGGGAATAAGGGATGGACGGGTCTGGCATATTGATTATTGGGGTGTAAGAGCAGCCCCTTAGAAAAATGGGGGACTAACCTGAAAGTTTCTGTAAGTTCTTGGCCCTGCAAGAGGAAAGGAGTGGAAGCTGCTGAGTTTTCTCTAGAAGACTGGGGTGGACAGGTGGGAGTGGGAGGATCCAGGCCATAGTCAGAGGGCTCTTGTATGTGTTCTGCTGGCTTTAGGAATCTCCACCTCCCTGTTCTGTGGTTTAAACTAGACCTACCTTGGCTTTTAAGGCAACCAGTATTTTCTCAATGTGGAAAAACTCAGTGATGCAAGTTCTCTGTTCCAGGTTGGGGGCTGCACTGTGGTGAAGGACGAGGGGTGGTCTTAGAGTTTCACAGGAACTTTCAGAACTGCCTAGAGCAGCCTCCTGTCTGTCATGAGGTCCAGAGACGTGATGGCCTGAGTTTTCCTTTCTGATCTGTTATTCACATGCCACACCATTCACAGGCCAGGTAGCTTGGTGGCCAGCGACCCAGACTGCCAAAGTTCAAGTCCCGGCTCTGCCACTTCCTCTATTAACAGTGTGATCTCAGATGGGCTCTTTAAGTTCTCTGTGCCTAACCTACCTGCAGGGTCCATGAAGAGGACTAAGTGAGTTAATGCTTCTAAGTCCTTAAAACAATGTCGGGTATATACTTGCTAATATACTGTATGCTAAGCACACACACACACACACACACACACACACTCACACACTCTCACTGATATGCCATGTACAACATACTGTATTCTGAGCAAGTGTTTGTTAATCATCATACGGTGACTTGTGAACTGGGAGTAGAGTCCAGTTAATCTTAAGTACTTGTTAGTCGCCAGATAGACAAAACCCAAGTGATACAGTTCTGGCTATCAAGAAGTTCCCCATCTACAGGAGAAAACAGAGAGGGGACATGGGGTTTTGAAAGTGGTGGGGGCTGTGTGGAGACAGAATTTCCTGCCGGTGTGTGCACTACTGGAGATTATCCCCAAGGGCTTGAGCTGCATCCAAGCGCAAGGTGGAATTATTTCATTTTACAGTTAGAAGAACTGAGACCCACTGTAAGTCTGTAGGCTGTTGAGACTGTGGAAGAGAGGGATGGTGGGAAGTGGAGATTGGTCATGGTGGCGGCCACGTGGCTGCTTCTAAACTCACTTCCTGTGGGATGGTGGAAAGACTGTAGGAGGGGCTGTGGGTTGAGGCCGGCTCTGCCACACTTCTGCCTCTGTGGCCTCAGGCCTGTCACTTGGCCTCTCAGTGAGAGTCGAGGCTGTGATGCCTCCACTGCTGCGATGCCTCCACTGTAGAACTCTCTGGGTTACGGTGAGGAGCTCCTGAGAAAACTGGGGTGAAAGTGCTCAGCAAGGCCACCCATTGCTCTGTAATTGTGGCCTCATTGTAAGTCTCCACATGGGCCAGCTCTGCTCCCTTTAGGACATTGGAAAGTCGGTTTGGTTGCAGAAACTCTAAATATGTGGGCATCATTTCAAAATGTCTCAAGCTTTTGAATTCTAAAAAAATTGGTCTTGGTTTGGCACTAGGACACGGCTTCTCAGGTGCTTCCTGTTTCTGGCTGAATGGGAGAAGCCACCAACATGTCCTGTTGGAACCGGGAACTGTAGAGGAAGTGGGAAGTAGGCATGAATTTGGGACATAAACTCATGGAGCACATCCGGTCGGTTCAGTTTGTGTTGATTTCATGTGACAGCGTCGTTCCTACCACATGTTGTTTGGTTTTATCAGAACGTGAGAAAACGAGAGCTTTGGTGGGGCACTGTATGGGGAAAACGACTTGTAAATTAAAGGGCAAGTACATAAAACATGAGTCATTATTCACCAAGCTGTGGTATTTTAGGACTCCCAAATGTT